AATCTCGCCGTGCGACCTAACGGCAACATTCTCATAACTTCCCCGGTGTCCTCAACACTTATGATGCTCGACCCCACCGTCGCTAACCCAACCCTCAAAAATATTCACACATTCCCGAACGTCACTCTCGCCGGAATCACAGAGGTTCAGCCCGACGTCTACGGTCTCATCACCCTCGTCGTGAACACTACCACCATCACAGCCCTCCCGGGATCTATCGCTGTATGGCGCGTGGATCTCAGCACCCAAGGGCCTCCCATCGTCAACCAAGCCGCCTCTGTGCCCAATGCGATATTCCTCGATGGGCTCGGCTCCGTCCCAGGCGAACCCGACCTGGTTCTCGGCTCGGATTCCGCCGCGGGACTTGTATGGCAAATCAACCTACAAACAGGCGCAGTCCGAATCGCAGCAAAAGACGCTGCATTCGCGCCTGATGCCAGTGCGACACCCCCCTTCGGAATCAACGGACTGCACGTTCGAAACGGGGACCTTTTCTTCACCAATACCGACCAGCAGACATTCGCGAGCGTCCCCATCACGGTACAGGGGGGAAATGTAGCGCAGGCGGGACGGGTTGAGATTCTCGGATCGCCTGCGAACGCAACGGAGCAGTTTGACGATTTTACGTTCGACGGGAAGGGAGGGGCGTGGGTCGCGACTAATCCTAATTTGCTTACGGTTTTCTCCCCGCCTATTGACAGTAATGGACTGCTGGGGAGAGTCAATGGAGCGGGGAGCCCTGTTGAGTTCGATAGTCCAACCTCGGGTGCATTCGGACGGGGAAGCGTGGCGCAGGAGCAGACGCTGTATGTGACGACACAAACTGGGCAGGTTATTGCTGTCGATACGAGAGGAATTCAGGTTTAAACGAATTTTCGTTGGTCTCCGAAAAACGATCTTGTACTGTTCTTTTTTTGATGGCATTCAAATTCATATTTTCTGTGAAGCAACTCTGCACGACAATGCATCAGTCAACGAGAACAACAAATAAATTGGATCAAAGTTTTGGGTACATCCATTATGATACTGAAGCTGATTTTCCTCACGTTAGTACATAACCTTTTTGCAGCGGAAAAACACATACATCACATCAATCTACCAAGACGGCACAAAGGTATGATTATCGATTTTTTGTGCAATCCCTGTATACCTCCAACGTGATATATATGCTGGAGTCGTCCCCGTCCCATTGTTCGCGGTCGCATAAGCCCCGAGAAGCGTACCTGGAGTAGGTATGTTAGCAAACACCGGATTCTTCAAGGGAAATAATGAGAACTTACCAGTAAAGGGTCCAGTCCCCCCGCTCACGATCGTCGCCGGTAACGCTCCGAGCACAATTCGACCCAATCCTGAATTGGAACTTGCCGAGAACGTATAATGGGTGTCGTTATCCGCGCGGACGGTGAGTGTAATCGGCGCTGCACGCCATGAGTTTGGGATAGCGTGGACAACAGCTGGAGGAGCCGTGCCGAAATTCCCGCCGCCAGTGGTGCGAAGGCGGAGTTGCAGCGTGTCATGATTCGATTTATCGGCAACCTGAACGATGCCCAGATCGATATGCTGAAGCTGCGTCAAGAATACCGTGATCCCCGCCTCCTCGTCGAACTGCGTCGGCGCGAAAGACACATCGACGCTATATTCAAAAAGGGTGTCGGTTTGGAGACGGGCGATGAGCGAGATGGGGTCGATGCCGCTGCTGATGTCGGGGGAGGGGGAGATGCGCAGCGTGTTGGGATGACCGGGGGGAGAGATGGTGAATGAGTCGAGATTGGGCCAGCGCCAGAAGAGGAGGTTCGTGGGGAGAGTGCTGCCGGGTGCGAAGTCGAATACGTCGGGGGTACCGTAAATCGGTCCGCGTCCGCGGACATCTTTCTGGACGGGAAGAGTCCATGCAGACTCGCTGCCGCGCACAGGGGAGATGACGGGGAATTCGCCCTCCTCCCACGTAGCGGGCGTTATGACCATCTCGCGACCCATTTGGTAGTTCACCCATTCGGGCCCGGAGCGCGTAGCCAGCGCAGAAGCCCACCAATTGCCTTTGCCGTCTTTGAAGAGGTCCGCGTGGCCAACGGTTTGGAAATATTGACCCGTGTTTTTATTCGTCAGCACTGGATTGCCCTCGAAGCCCACATATGTTCCCGTAAGGTCGCGCGAACGCGCCATCGTGACGGTGTGGTTGACCTCCGTACCGCCCTCTGCGATCAAGAGATAATACCACCCGTCTTTCTTGTAGATGTGTGGACCCTCGGGATTCCGGTCCCCTGTGCCATTCCACAGCTGTGTTACGGGACCGAGAGCCCCCGTGTCTAGGTCGATGGTGGAGATGAAACTTTCCGCGCAAGTCATGTACGGGACGTTATCGTCGTCCCAAAAGAGATCAGGATCTATGTTCCCCGGCCGGAAAAGGACGGGATCGCTCCACGCCGCGTCATCGAACGGGTCGGTTGTTTTGAACAGCAGGCCCGGAGGCAAAGGGTTGCTTCCGTCCGAGACGAAAAAGGTGATGGCATAGAATGTACCTTGATGAAAACGGAGAGTGATGGCGAATATACCCTCGTTTTGGCCTGTAGTGTTAAAATGCGGCCACTGAGTCTCCCTATTTAGTGCGTGGCTTGCGAGCCGCCAGTTGACTAGGTCTTTACTCGCGTGGATCGGAATGGCCGGCGTAACGAGAAAGGTGGAAGTGACACAGAAGAAAGTGTCGTCCCATTCCGGGACAAAAACGCAGCTGGGATCGCTGTGCCAGCCGGGGATGGTCGGATTGAGGTGTGTATTGTTGCCAGCAGCAGCGTCGGCGAGCACAAGAGCGCTCAGGCTGGTGGCAATGATGCCGAAAATATGCCAGCACGGCGAGAACATGTTCCAGAAGTTAACTTGCCACACGACTATGGCTCGAGGGGCTTTATAGGTGGATTTCGAAGCGGGCGGAGCGTCGGGGAGAGTGGTCGGGCCGCCATTGCGCAGATGAAGGAAGCAGAAGCAAAGCTGCATCAACCTGAAAGCAGAAGACGGGTCAGCGGTTGGGTTTTTCCGGGATTGATCCGCACTTTGTCGCTGCCCTCGACATCCTCTACACCCCGCTTTCTCGACGGCCTCCACCTCTTCCACCCGTTTCGCGGCTTACGGTCTCGGTGCACGCCTTCCCCTTTAACAGGGTCACAGAAGATTGACCCCGTTTACTTCGCGATTCCGAGTCGCTGAGTGCGTGGCCTTGCCCTTTTTTCTTTTCGCGCAATACTCACTCGACGTTGACGCTGATGACGCCCATACACTCAACCTCGCTCCATCTCACGCGGCGACACCCCACCCCGCCAACTCCACCGCTAGCCTTGCCGCCCAATGCGCCCACATCTACACCCGATTCGTCATCTACCCGCCGTCTCAATGAACTCCGCCGAATGCACCGCTCAGTGCCTGTTCAACTTACACGGCCCCTCCCCGCTCGCCTTCGCTCTCGGTGACCATTGTTGCCCATCATCGACTTGCTGCACCCTCGATCAGCCGCCTATCAAGTCCGTCCCCTCACCGCCCAAGTCCGCCGACATCCATGCAACACTTTTGCCTACCACTCCGCCTCCGGCATTCACATCCTGCCTGATACCTCTCACATCGCTCTCCCCATATTGTAGGGTAAGCTTACCGCTTTCCACACGCGCTACCTTGAGATTCACTTTGTGGATGCAAATAGCGCGCCACCGACGACTCAGTCCGACACGAGCGCGCTCAATCTCCACACCCCGCCCGCCCACCACCGCATCACCTCACTCACTACCTCGCCCTCACCACTCTTGACGACCTCCCGCCCATCAACCCCGCCCTCCATCATATCCCCGTCGCAGCTGTTCTCCTCAACGCCACATCGCTGCACCACCTCCTCCCCTTCAAGTCTCCTGATCTACTGGCGCTCTCCTCTCCTCCCACCGTCAACTCGAGCGCACGCCTTCCCTACCCACCTCAAATCACGCCGATGTCATCTACGGTATCACACCCGCCTCGTCACTCCGCTTCTCCCGCGCCTCGCCATTCAACGACTTCGCACGCGCCGATACCACTACCTACCCACCCACACGCGTGCTCCTCCCCCCATTTCTTATCGTGGAATGAGATGCTCGATCGAGTCGAGTACAGACAGCGGCGGGGCTCCACGTCAAGATTTCGATGCTGCCAAACTCTCGGCCAATCGCCGCCCAATTGGTATTAGTGAACGCTGCCGGACTACGTCAGTCATAAAAGGTGGAGTTTTCAGGACGACTACTAGTATTTTACATAAGGATCCGTGCGGTAGTAGCTGTATTGGTATCGCGACCTTTACTTGGCTATAGCGCTACTAGTTCTGCTTCTAAGTTAAAATGAGCCCAATATCAGAATAAACGTACGATTTCCTGCCATGCCAAGTAACGAAAAGAAGATACATTCCGATCCGTCAAATCGATGACTCTGACCCCGGACCTCCAGCAGTGACTCAGTACAATTTCTTCAAGTCGGGAAAGATTCCTTGTTTCAGTCTGTGATATTTCTATCAAAAGCGGCAAGTGGGATTCGAATTATAGATTGAACTACTTCTTCTGGATTCAGCGCACGAAATTTGCCCAGTGTACAAATGCCCTTTTTCTTTCCGGGGGTTTTCGTCTATGTCACAAAACGTCACGGTTGAAAATTAAGATCGAAATTGTGCCGCACTTAGAGGAACTAATTGGAGTCATGGACTCCTTGCTCTCTACAGACTGCAGAGGAACTGGGGAGCTACTGTTCAAACATTTAATTGCGCTAGTAAATTTCTGAATTTACATAAAACCACGGTGAGTTTTCGATCCAGTATAGTTGAATGATCGGGCGGATAGAAAAATCCGAGTCTTTGGATAGATTACTTCGGCCTCTTGTATATACTATAGAGTGCATCCCGGTAGCGATTAGGGTTCGATTGGGTAGTGAGTTGAAGAGATGGTCGCGCTTGAAATAGCCTGATCTGCCAGATAATCAATTTGATCGGTCCTTCTCAAGGTGCCTTGGCGCAATGGTAGCGTGTTTGGCTTCGACTGCCTCAAAATATCCACCAAAAGGCTGCAGGTTCGAGTCCTGCAGGCATCAGCTCTTTTGTCCCTTTTTCCAGCTCTATTTTGGATAGGTTGAACACTAAACTTGTATTTTTTCGAGCCGCTACCATAAATTCTGTTTTTTCGCCGAATTCGCGAAAATCACCTTGAGATATATCGAAATCAGGTCCGTAGCGGCGCCATTGAGGGTTAGGTTGCTGTTGGTTATCACCATAAGCCGACCCACATAGTTGCTTTGTAGTTCTGCCTTTAATCATCATCTCACAGGTCGCCATCAATTCGACCCCTAACTCTGAGGCGTATGATTACGCTCCAACTTCATTCCGATTTTCTCACAGAGACAGCTAGAAGGAACACCCTTCGTCTCAATATTTTCGTACATGACTAAATTGTTAAAGTTGTTCGATCCTAAATACTACTGTGTGAACAAAGAATCCAGTACCAGTTGCGTTAAAAAAGAATTCACCTCAAGTTGAACCACTCTGCTGGTGAATTTAAATCTACTAGTAACAGTAACTGTATGCCAACAGTCAGTATATATAGTTCAACTTGTTCCAACTGCTCCGAGTCGGTTCGTTGACTAGGCCCTACAGTCGAAGATGATTGGAATATCGAGAATTGAACTTGAAGAGCGTGGATGACTCGGCGAAATAGAATTGCAACCGTGCTGGTCACTCACTTCAACATCGCCGCCCTCCGAGGTGACAGCGGCCGACGATGACAATACAACCCGCCGCCCGCAATTCAGAAAGTGTTCGATGTGATTTGCCGTGTTGTAGTTGGTAGTTGCTGCGGGGGCGGGAGAACATCAAGCAGAACACTGCCTCGCCGCCGCAGTATATAGCGCACCGAACTCAAAGTATCACGGTATCTGTTCCCATCCTTTACACTCATCTTTCCAGCTACGACTTTCGTTCCTTCCTAGGATAACACTCACCATATGTTGCTTGAGTTGTCGACGGAACTCCTCGAGGAGATCGGAAACGAGGTCTGTATGCTGGCATTCTTTGAGGACATCATTCTTGTCAAATAACGTATTCTCACTGTGCAGCTCACCCATAAAGACCACGGCAACCTCCGTGCAGCTTGCAGAGGCCTGAACGAGGCTATGCAACGCTTATTCTTCTCGCTATTGACTCTCAAGACAAGGAACTTAGGCACTGGCAGTCTCGAAGGACGAGAGCTGTTCGAAGTTCTCGCGGGTTGGCAAACGGGCTGGACGACCTATGCAAAGACTCTGTGCATCGACACAACAGGAGAGATCCCAGCCGGAACCTCGGTCCCAAGCGAGGAGGAGATTCCCGCTATTGTGGATGAGCTCATCCTGCAGCGCCGCCTTGCTAATGCCCTGAGCTCGGTACCGAAATTGCGGACAGTCACGTAGGAGATCGGTTTGCTCACCGTATGATTGGAACCTCAAAGTTCTATTTTCAGATGGAAGATACACGAGAGAGCATCGGTGAAATGGGAAAACGAAACGATTTGCGGATTTCTGAATGCCCTAGCGGACCTTGATACGCTCGAGCTGGATGCTCAGAGCCTGACAGATTTGTCACTTTTGCAGGTTCAGGGTCTTCGAAGACTAACTGCAAAGGTTTCATGGCGTTTGTGGCGGGGAAGGAGAGGGAGGAACTCCGTTTCGGCCGACTCGCTGCCTATGTATCAAGAAATCACCCGTCTGGCCGTGGAGAATCGACTCACCGCTCTTCATTTAGAGGGCCCTGCGAAGGAGATGTCAGAAGTCTGGACGGCGCTACGATTCAAGTCACAGACACAGCTCAAGGAAATTACGACCAATGTGGTTACACCTGAATTTTTCGCCTACCTCAATTCCTACACCGGGGTACAGAAGCTGACGCTCGTTGGTCCTGACGGTGGTAACCGGGAAAAATCAGACCGCCTCGCAGACCAATTCTGGGACGTTCTCCCGCGCCACGCAACGACATTGTCGGAACTCACATGCCCCGCATCGTACGAAAGCCGATTTAGCTTTGCATCGCACAATGACCATGTCATTTCGCTGCTCACTCAACTGACGAGTCTGAAGATGAGCATTAATGCAGGCAAGACCAAACCTATGGAGCGCCAAACAGAAAGGAAATTCATTACTGTTGGCATACCCATGGAGGCAGACCAATCCGACATCGATCCTGTCGTCGTACGTACCTCCCGATTCAGATATTGAATAGACAACTCACCAGTTTCATTTCGGCAGGCACTTTTACTTCAAACCGCAGCCTCCCTTCCCCACCTGAAAATCGTTGAAATTGTGTCTGCAGAAACGGAAAGCAATCGCGGTGCTTGGTGCGGCAACGGGAGAAGACATCACAAAGGCGCAGTTACCCGTGCGATTGAGAATTCAATTTCAAGTTTCCGCTCAGATATTCCCAGCGCGGCTATTGTGCAAGCTGGCAACAAAACCTATGCGCTAGAGGCCTGGGAGAAAATGGAAGAAGGAGATCCAGCCGGGGATTCGCAGGGTAAACTGGGATATCGACCGATTGGCAGAGGATCACAGATGGGAAGGGGACAGAGATAACGGAGCAGTGGAAATCGAGGCATTCATTATTTCTTGTGTAATAGTATCAAAAGACGCGTTGAGCTTCCCAGATGACTCCGCGAGTGGGTGGAGATGAATGCTGCTGACATATATTGTAGAGTGTGCAAGACGGTTGCTTGAGTTGTATGTCCGGTTCCGATAGAAAAATTCGATGCCCTGAGCTTGACTTCCATTGGGACGCGCAGACGAGATGAGGGTTCGGAACAAGGCCAATGCCATCATTGATTTCCCCGGCAAAGCCCGACGGCGAATCTACCATGACGCCGCGGCATCCAGCAGCTTGCTCCCAACTGTCATCTTGTTCGCGTGGCGCCGAAACGACAACCGGTCTCTTCCCAGTGAAAGTCTGACCACGGCTGCGTTGAAGGTTTAAATTCTATCACTTGTTTTCCACGAACCGAGTTTTCACAATCATCGAGAGTTTCCGCTTGTCCTGAGTCCTGACTCACTGCAGCCATATACTTATCCACCTCGCCTGCTTTTCTCTCATAATGCTGTCAAATCTTTCGGTCGAGCTTGTTCAGGAAATCGGGAATCAGGTCTGTTCTCAATGCAGCATGATCTCAAGTACAAGGTCGGTTGATAGTATGAACAGCTTCCGCGTGCGGACCATGCGAATTTACGCGCAGTATGCAAAGACTTCAATGACTCGATCGGGCCTCTGTTCTTTGAAGTGCTGGCCTTGAACACAAATACATTACTACTAAACTCGGATGGAGTGCACCTACTCGAAACACTGGCAGGTGGGAAAAGCGGGTGGACGCATCACGCGAAGACCCTCAAGATTAGCTCTGGCACCCCAAGTACCCCATACGGCGAGGAATTCACAGAACAGAAGCTACATCTTCCGGAACACGAGGCACAGGACCTGCTCACTAGGGCGTTAGCAGGGCTGCCAAACATACAAGCCGCCATGTAAGTTGATTCTTCTTCGATCCAATTGTTTCTTTGTTTTCAATCTAACTTACACTCTTCGACCTTTCAGTTGGTATGTGTTCCATGTAGGCGCGACCGAGCTTGGCTCTATGCACTGGGAGAGAGCCACAATTTGTGCGTTTCTGACCGTGTCGTCTCGGCTCCACGACTTCGCGCTTCATATTCAAGACATCGAGGACGAGATGGATTTCTCCACCTTGACCGCCAAGAGTCTCCACCGATTCTCGCTCACGAGTCCGAATCTCGACGATTCTTGGTATCCGAATCCGGATCCTAGTCGGAAATTTGTTGCGTACGAGCAGATTTCCCAGCTCGTGACTCAGAATTCCCAACTAACCGGGTTACACCTGGACACTCAAGATGAATGGAACAGAATTTGGGCGGCCCTACGGGTTAACGGGAATCCTGGGATAAAGCTACGAGAGATCTCGAGCCACGTCTCGCTGGAATTATTCTCCTATCTTGACTCTTATTCCGGAATCGAAAAGCTGACTCTCCATCCGGATGCTGGCAGTGAAGACCAGTCCAACCTCCTTGCAGACAAATTTTTCGAAGCTTTATCCCGTCATGCATCTTCCCTCGTGGAACTTTCCTGCCCCGCCTTCTACGAAAACCGATTCAGTTTTGGAACTCACAATGTCGACGTTGTATCGCGTCTCCAAAACCTACGAAAACTCGAGATGAGCATCAATGCATGGGAACATGCTACTCGCATTGTTCATGAACCTGAGGAGCGGGTTCCGTTGGATGGGAATCAAAAGCGAATGTATGGATTGCCTCCCATCGGAGTCCTCATGAAGGCGGAGCAAATCGAGGTCGATGCGTGCATCGTAAGTATTTCTTCTCTTTCGACGAATCGAATCTTTGAATTCTGATCATAACCCGATAGAATCTCCTGCTCGACACCGCCGCCGGCCTGCCTGCACTTCATACTCTGGTCATCCGCTCTGCAGACAGAGAGAAAAGTCGTGGAGCGTGGTGCGGAAATGGCCATCACACGAGGGCGGTGGATAAAGCTATCGGGCAAACGATGAAGACCTTCCGGTCGAGCGTGCCTTCCTGTTGCACTGTGATTGCGTGTCGTCGCACGTATGAACTTCAAAAGACGCAAGATCATGATTTGGCTAGCTCGTGGGCGTATCAAGAGACCGGGATCGCTCTCCCAGAATATTGATCATAGGGTTGTAGCTGTCTTTCTTTCGGAATCGTAGACATAAAAACTCTTTTGAATGAAGTCAGCTTAGCTTCGCTCGAGATTCCGGCGTCTCAACGCCCGACTCGCTCGAGCCGCTCGAGCGGTGCCTCGAGCCACACTAAAATAAAATATTGTATTTGATAGCTACTACCCTATATATACGCCCTTGGCTCGAGCGCACTCCCGCTCGAGCCAAACTACATCTCGAGCCACCGTCCCCTCGATCCAACTCCCGCTCGAGCCTGACACCCGCTCGAGTCCGCCACCCGCTCGAGCGCGCCATCCGCTCGAGCCAACTCCCGCTCAACCCACACATTCGCTCGAGCCACCCATCCACTCGAGC